GGATTTTGCGCTTTTAAGTGGAGCTTGATGGGCCATATTGCTTGGAGCAGGGAAGACCGTGGAGCTGAGCATTGCAGGTGGTGTCGGCTAAGCTCAAGAGGTTTCAGAAGAGAAGACTATTATAAGTGGTGGGCATTTCCAGAGAGCTGTCATAAAGACCCTTAACGATAGAGCCATCGCCCCAGCCCTCAGGTTTGCATTTCTTAACGGCCACATCTGCTTTGACATCCTCTCTCCCAGGCTGGCTTCTTAATGTAAGCCAATTTATGGACTTGATGTCTGCATCTCACCCCTATAGAGGGATGAAGCCTGGCATCCCGCACATCAGCCAGCTCGCTCGCTCCTTCTTCCCTCCCTCCCTTCCCCTTCCCTCCCTCCCTCCCTCCTTCGCGTCATCGTCCCTCTCTATAAATTGGAAAAAATTCAGTTTCTTTTTTTCACTTGCTACTCTTCTCGGGCTACTGACATCTCTTTTCCTTTATGGCCAAACTTCTGGAAAGACTTGTCTTCACACGCTGCATCCAAACTCAGGGCAAACATGCCTTCTTGTTCCGGAGATTCTAATATGAGAATTACATTATCCTCACACATATATGAAAGCACCAATACACAAAGTAGTTTCCCCCAAACCAAACTTACTATGCAAAAATGTTTCTACAGAGGAAAAAAAAAACCCTCATAGCTAATACCTGAAAATTTTAATTTGCCTCTGGGTACCTTGGTAACGAGTTTGTTTTTTTTCTTTTAATTTGCACAATTGGAAAAAAGGGATAATTTATTTACACTTACATGAGAACACATTGTTAAGTAACTTTAAAATTCTCAACTTATATTCTGAAAAAGGAGACAGCGAGAAGCGACCAGCCTTTCCGGCTCGCCTCCGGTTGCCTTGGTAACGGCCAAAGCGCCGGGTCAACTCTTCCCAGGATGCCGCGCGCCTTCCCACTTCCGGTGCTGGGCCTCCAGGTGACTCCTTCCGGAGCGTGGCGGCTCCCTACGCTGCGCCGTCAGCGATCTGCGTTGGCGTCAGTGATGCGGGGAGAAAGTTTCACTTTCGCCAGATTTTTGTTGACGCTGGATAAGTGGATCGGATGTTGGTTACTAAGCAACCGCGGGGGGCGTGGCGTGGTGGTCCACCCCATCCCAGCTGTATCGAGTTCGAGACCGGTCTAGATCACAATGTGACATCTCGTCTGGAAAAATGCAAAAGCAGGGAGGGGGTGGTGACCCCACGAAAGAGCGCTTGCCTAGCCTGCGGGCCGCCCTTGGATTAATGCTGTCTTTTATTATTTCCTTATGTTTTAAGGTTATTTTATGTGTGAATACAGTCGTAATGCAGTGCCCGAGGAGGACAGAAGAGGGCGTCAGATCCCCTGACAGTGGAATTATAGTCAGCTGTGAGCCATTATGGGACTATTGGGAATCGAACCTGGGTCCGCTGCAGGAGCAGCAATCGTTCTTAACCCACTGAGCTATCTCTCTAGCTTACCAGTTAAAATAAAAATAATACATAAATAAATGCCCTGAATCAAAATCAGACCAAACACCCGACTCCCTAAAATAGAAGGATGTATGTAACTTGACTCGGTGTTCTGCAGTGTAAATACATTGCTGCACACCGTAAATATAATTTTTATTTGTCAATTATAAAACGGAATTAAATGTTAAGAAGTTAAAATGTGGGGCTGGAGAGACGGCTCAGAATTTTAGAGCACTGGCGGCTCTTGTAATAAGTGGTCTTGCGTTTATTCCCAGGAACCGTATGGTGATTCACAAGCATCTATAATAGGATCTGGTGCCCTCTCCTGGCCTGCAGGCAGAACACTGTATACATCATAAAGAAATCTTACAAAGTTAAAATGTTATAAAAGGCTTTAAATTATATGTAACGTCATCCATTACTGAGATACTGTCATTCATTGTCCATAATTTTTTTTTGCTTTAGAAAGATATGTTTTTGGGTTAGAAATAAAATGAAAGCAAATGTAAAATAACAGGAACCTCCAGGCCCTGTCTGCACAAAAACCACCATTGTGATTGGCCACTTTGAAGGGGGCCTTCTTTTTATGCTGTTAGTAAATAAAAATTCAGAACAGAATCAACTGTGCTATTTTATAATGTAAAAAAAATATTTATTTGAAAAAGACTACATAGTTGCACATGCGATTTTCTACCTCTTCCTGGATATTTAGTCTGTTCCTATCCTTTTCGCTCTTAATTAGTGCTGTGATGTAGCAATGGAAAGGTTTAGAGAAAGAAAGGACCCACTCTCCTTTTCTTTCCTTTCTTTCGTTGAGACAGGGTGGCATCCTGTAGCCCTGGCTACATTGTAGACAGAGACTTGCTGGTCCCTGCTTCCTGAATCCTGGGATTGAAGGTGTATGCTCACAGAGAACCGTGAGTGTGCCGTGCGGTGTTATTGCCGGTCCTTGGGGTCTCTGGTGCTTTCTCCTTTTAACTCTTGTATTTATCCCCCCACTTGTCACAGAATACCTGTTTCCTTCTCCCCGCAGGGGAGCTGTGGGTGAAGGTACAACGAGGCACCTCTCAACCTCTTACAGTTAATTTTTGTGGTTATTAAGGCAGCACATACTGTAGGATGTTAAGGGCACGTAGGAGCTGGGGAGGTGGCTCCGTGGGTAAAGGTCTGTGGTGATAGCATGAAGATCTGAGTTTGAGTCCCCAGAGCCCATCAATGCTGGGTGTGGTGGTGTGGACACCTGAGGTTGTCCTTGGATCTCCACACATATGCTAAGGCATGTGTGCACCCAAACTCTTGAGTGCACATGCACACACACACACACTTACACATGTGTGCATACCCTCACCCAACCATAGTTAGAAAATTCAGAAGAATGCAAATCACAGAATATAATACTTTGATGACACTGATATTCTGGTATAATTAATTTGATTTTTCTCTCTCTGTTCTTTCAGAATTGAACATTGAGAGGTGTTTTCTGGGTTAATATTGTAGTTTTTAGTTTGCAGTTTTGATTATTCATGTGGCCGAGTAATATGTCAAGTGACCTTTCAAATCTTTTCTAGGTATGCTGGCTAGTTTTGTTTCTCCATGGTCTCTGCTCCCATTCCTGCTTCCAGGTCCTTCCATGATGGACTATAGTCCATAGTGATAGACTATGACCTGAGAGGTTAAGTAAACCCTTTCCTCCACAAGCTGTTTTTCTGTCAGTGTTTGATTACAGCCATAGAGAAGCAAACCAGGACAGGAGCTTATGGTCTGTGGGCTGCGGATCCTACCCTGTCTTTTTAGCTGTCTTCTAGTGTTCTAAACTAACTGAGCTGATTTTTATTTTTTCCAAGACAGGGTTTCTGTGTATAGTTTTGGAGCTTGTCCTGGAAGTTGCTCTGTAGACCAGGCTGGCCTAGAATTCACAGAGATCCACGTGCTGGGACTAAAGGTGTGCGCTACCAATGCCCTGCTCTGAGCTGAATCTCAGTGGCTTATTTTTTTTTTTTTTTAGATTATTTATGTTTTATGTATGACTGTGTTGTCTGCATGCGTCTATATGCACTCTGTATGTGCCTGGTGTTCAGAGAGGTCAGAAGAGGGCGCTGGATCCCCTAGAACTGGAAGTTATGGACTGGGTGCTGGGAACTGAACCCAGGTCCTCTGCAAGAGCAAGGATCGCTCGAGCCATCTCTTTACCCTCATTCTAATCTGCTTTTCCTTAAGACGTGGTCTTATGTGTCCCAGGCTGGCTTTGACCTTGCTCTGTAGCCGAGGTTGACACTGAACCCCTGACCCTCCTGTCTCTACCTCCGGAGTACTGTTTTTACAGGCACATTTTGCCACCGTGTCTGTTTGTGTGGTTCGGGGGACAGAACCCCGGCCTCCTCAACTAAGTTTCATCTTCAGCCTCCTTCTGTAGCTGGGTTAATTATTTAGCTTTGCTGAACTCCTATCTGAAAATCAGGGCTGATAATATTTCACAAGGTTGCAATGAGGAGAGGAAGTAACATACACAAATGGAACTCAATAAAAATCTAGTTTTTGGCTTATAGCTTTATTAGTCTGTAAATACAGGTATTTGTATGGTATTGCAAATGAGCCAATGTCCTCTGCTTCCCACTCAACTCATGTTTACTGAGCACCTGTGACATCTAAGTGCTGTTCGTAGTTCTTAAGGCCTCGTACGCCCATTTTTCTTAGACACTTAAGTTTCCTACAGAAAACATTCGCTGTGGTTCAACTTCAGTAGTTTTCTTATTCTTTGTTTTCTCAGACTCTACCATCCTGCCTGGCTCGGGGTAGCAGGTGCTGAATAAATGTGTGAACTGAGCTGAATAATTTATCGGGGAAAGGAAAAACAAACGCACCGCACACGCGCATTAAACAAAAGCCGGAAGTGTGTCATGAACGCACTAACACATACAAAGTGCTTTGAACTGCAGAGCAGACAACATTAATCGCCCTGGCAATCCCCTGGGGAGTAGGGAGGCTTAATCTGGGGCCTGATTATGGGTACCGAAAGGCGTCACCGCGTGAGCTGAGGTTTGGAGGAGGAAGGAAAACTGTTTATCTTACCACTTATTTGTGCTGGGGTTGAGGAACGGGTCCCCATGCGCTAGATTCTGATGTGACCCAGCAGTCTTTATTGTTCCCAAAGAGTTTCTGGAAACACTGCCTTTAATTTGGTCTGAGCGGGTAGTGGGAACCAGAGACACGGGCAGAGGTCAGGATGGGACGATGGCAGAGACCTTCAGCTGCAGAAAGGCACTTAGGAGGAGAGGGTGTGTCCCCTAGACACCCTTAGCTGTTGAGGAGGCAGCAGGAGGCCGAGAAGGTGCACTTAAAAACAGGCCAACCAGCCACCGGACAGCAGCAATGAAGATGGCCACGAGGCCCCGCCCACGAACCCCGCCCACGAGCCACGCCCATCCAAAGCCCCGCCCCGAGCTGCGAGTGGCTTGCCTACCCTGCTGGAGTGCTGAGGGCTCGCCGGTGGCGGAAGCGGCGTCCCCGGGTCGGAGGAGCCGGAGGAGGCGGCGGCCAGGCCTGCGGGCCGCATGGCTGCAGCTCCGGGCGGTGGCGGGTCAGGCCCCGCGGCGGGAGAGCCGCTGCTGCAGCGACACGACTCCGGCCAGGGCTCGCCCGAGCCGCCGGCCCACGGGAAGCCCCAGCCGGGCTTCCTCTCCAGCCTCTTCACCCGGGACCGGAGTTGCCCGCTCATGCTCCTGAAGACGCTAGAGACGAGTAGGAGCGGTGACCCGGAGGCTGGGCCGGGGGTGGCATCAGATCCCGGGGGCGAGGAAGGGCGGGGACCCCGCTGAGCCCCTGAGCTGCGTGGGCCGGTGGGGGCTTGGGCACTCGCGCACCACTCCCGCTGGTGAACGCACGGGTCGCACTCAGTTTCTTATGTAAGTAGGGGCAGCAGGGGCCGGGTGCCGGCGAGAGCTGGGGAGAACCCGTTAGTAGCCTTCCCCGGGGCGGGGGTGTTCTTTAACCTTCGCTTATTGCAGTGGGGACGGAGGAGAATGCTAGAGTAGAAACCCTCGAAAGACCCCGCGTTTATGCACCTGATTGGGCTTCGCTGGGGAGAGCGCCCCTCGTGTCCTCAAAGAGGCCGGGACTTCTACAACGTCTGTTACCACCGCCGCGGGTCAGGTTGCCACTGAGCTGTTTGTCACCAGTCCCAGGACACTGCTCAAGAGCCCTGCCCCTTTGCATCCGCATAGATTGCCCGTCCACTTCAGATTTATTTAGGAGAGTTAAATGTATTTGTCCCAGATAATAAGGTTAACGTCTAGCAGTGTTGGTCGTAACTCTAAATAGTCAACTGATCAAAGGTGTTACTCTCTTCCTTTTTAAGTTTATTAAATTTGTCTTTATTTTATGTTTTGCCATGGGTGTCGGGCCCCCTGCAACTGTAGTTACAGACAGTTGTGAACGGCCATGTAGGTGCTGGGAGTTGAACCCCGGGTCCTCTGGAAGAACAGTCAATGCTCTTAACCGCTGAGCCGTCTCTCCAGCCCCTTTCTCTCTTCTTTGTAAAAAGTTTTTTTTTTTTTTTTTTTTTTTTAAAGATTTATTTTAGGTGAATGATTGTTTTGCCTGCCTGTGCACTGCCAGCATCCCTGGTGTTCAGGTCTGTGAGCCACAGTGTGGATGCTGGGACCCGAACCTGGGTCCTCTGCAAGAGCAGCAGGCTGGCTCCTAACTCCTGAGCCATGTCTTTAGCGCCCCCTCCCGCCCGGTGAAGACTGAACCCAAGGCCTTGCCCTCAATAGGCCAGGCCGTACCACTGGGTTCAAATCCCTAACACCCTCCTCCCCGTTTTTCTTTCTGGTTAACCACAGACGCACACTCTTCCAGTTACTAACCCCCACTGGAGAACTCGTTGGCATGTTCTTTGCTTGGCATGTCCCATTTGGAATGTGGTACTCAGAATGGGGTATGAGTTACCACAGAGAGCATTGTAGGTACCGCCTTCCTCAAATCTAGGCTCTATGCTGCTTTTTGCTTTTCTGACTGTGGCCCAAGATTCCCCTGGTCTCCTAATATACTCTGTAACACAGTGTTTAGTCATTTAAACAAAACCAACCTTTGATACTAAGATGCTTTGGTCTTTGTGTTTATGTTTTATTTCATTCAAGACTTGATTTGGTATTAATTTACATGTTTCATACCCATTTAAAAATCAGTTTTCAGGTAATATTTGTGAGTTATTTTTGTGACGTCTGCTGTCTGCTGAGTTTTCTAATGGACAAACTTATGACTATCTTTGTAGACCCATATGTCAAACTTCTACTGGATGCTATGAAACACTCAGGCTGGTAAGTAATCTTTTTTAAAAATGCCACTGTATATTCTGGAGCCCCCAGAAGTGAGGTTACAGAGCTATTCTGCTTGAGATGTCTCATTTGGGAAACAAAGCCTCCTCGCCCAGTGGCAGCTACATGTCCTCCAGGCTGGCCTGTTCTCTTCCACTGTCTTTTGTCCTGGCCCAGCCTCTGAATATTAGTAAAGAGCAATATTTACAGTTTGTCCTGAAAGTCATTCCCGAACTCGGCCCTTCTATTCCTCCAGCCTAGGACACTATGGTGAAGAAACCTTAACTCGGAATAATTAGTAGGATGCTTCCAGATATTAACTCAGAGTGGATTAGGGGAAATGTCTTCTCATAGCTGCTTTTTAATACCCTGACCCAAAGGCAGGACTCCATCATATGTCCAGTGTGGTCCTAGTTAAGTGACCAGCTCCTGGATGGATTCCTTCCAGAGTACGGAACCTGCAGGGATGATCTCTCTCATTGTACAGGCGAGAGTCCCGACTGTTAAATGGCTTGCCAAGTTCTGTAGGTGTTAGCGCTGTGCTGTGTGGACCAGGGTTTGTTGTAGACTATTATTTTAAGGTGTGTCACTTCTGTTTATACTCCGGAACATTTGTTTAATGATGCAAAGATGTGTTTAATTACATAAATTTCACCTGCGGTCAGGAGGCTGGGCCAGCAACGAGCTGACAGGAAGTGGCAGGGAGGAGCCAGGTGGCCGAGGAGGAAAGGCGAGATGGGGAGCTGCTTGCTATTCAGCAGAATTTATCTCAGCCTTTGAATCTTGAGTTCTCTGGAGGGACAGAGATTTAGATAAGTTCTCTGGTAGCTGTGGAAGAGTCCGTGCCTGAAGGAACAGAATTCCCTCAGGCTGCAGCTCTCCTCTGCAGAGAGTTGAGGAGTTGCAGTTTCTGATCCCGATAGCCGTGGAGTAAGAGGCAGAAACAATGTAAAAAACGGGACAAGGAGTGATCGCTTCATACACGGTGCTTACATCTCTCCATGCTTCCCAGTGCTGTTAACGAAGGGAGACACTTCTCTTGCGAAGACTGTGATGGAAACGTCAGCGGAGGGTTCGACGCTTCAACGTCTCAGGTGGGTGTCTTTACTCCCTTCCCATACCTGCCAAACACTTCTCACACGCTGGGCGTTCTATCTGGTAGACTTTGCATAGGACTTCAAACAAACAAACAAAACAACAAAAGAAAAAAAGAAAAACAGTCACGGTCCTTACTCTCTAGGGGAGAAGACACAAACTCCTTAAACAGGACATCTGAGAACTTGAGGCAGGTAGGATATGGGGAGTGGTAACTCTCTGTTCCTGCAGCAAGCGGCTGAGAAATTGAACTTGTAATGAGGAATGAGTTATTTGGGCCCACGGTGTCAGCCCATGGTCAGTGGACCCCATTGCCTTTGTGGCCTGTGTCAAGTCCGAGCTTCATAGTGGGACCTGTGTCTGTGGGCGTCAAAGTCACCACAGCCCCTCATGCCCAGCGATTTAATTTCCTCCACTGCGCCCCACTTTCTGAAGTACCGCAGAATAACCAACCTGTCCTTTGGGGCAGGAGAGAGTGGTTAAGAGAGAGCACTGGCTGCTTTTCCATAGGACAAGGCTCAGTATCCAGCACCCACATGGTGGCTCACAACCATCTGTAACTGCACTCCCAGGGGATCCAACACCCTCTTCTGGCCTCTGCAGGCATGGGTGTGGTGCACAGACATACATGCAGACAGAATACATGTAGGCATTAACCAAAAAAAAAAAAAAAAAAAAAAAAAAAAGAGTAAACTTGGAGGTGGTGCTCGCCTTTAATCCCAGGGAAGTTGAGGCAGGTGGATCTCTGTGGGTTCGAGGCCAGCCTGGTCTATAGAGCGAGTTCTAGGACAGGCTCCAAAGCCAGAGAGGAAAAAAAAAAAAAAAAAAAAAAAAAAAAAAAGGAAACCAGCCCTTTAATTCCTACGCCTGTGGAGGATAGTCAAGGTCCACCATGATAGGTCAGTGACATGTTGCTTGAAAGCCTCTAACAGATTCAGCTAGAAGACAGAGTCCCTGCAAAGGCAGACAAGACACACGCTGTCTGTCAAGCAAGAGGCTGGGAAACTGCAGGTACGAGGGATACCATGCTGTGTGTGTAGCTAGAGGGTGTGAACACGGGAGAGAAGGGTCTAGAATTGGAAACCAGTGTGGGCTGTGTGGTGGGCGGCTGTGAACGCTGAGGCTCCCACAAAAGGTGAAGTTCGTTTGGGGTAGGGGAGAGCTTTCCTGTTACAGATAACGACTGCATCCATCTTCTAGAATAGTGATGAGGATTGAATTAGGTTGCACATTCAATTTTATTATTAGTTTAAGTCACTAGAGGGTTCCCACAGAATATTGGAGGTGGCAGGTTGGTCATGTGACGCGATGAAGGTTGTTGGAGTTACCGTATGTAACTGCTACAATCTGAGTATATAATCTACATTTAACCCCACTTAAGTGCTTTCATCGGGAGAGTTTTGTGTGCATTTGGTTATTCATAACTGTCTACAGAAATGTGGGTGAGCACTGTGGGTTTTATACTTGAGTTGGAATCCTAGCCCCTCCGCTTATTAGCTGTGGATTCGGGCAAGTTGTCCTTCTTGCTTTTAGTGTCCTCATTGGTAAATTGGTAATTGAGTTATAAACAGCTCCCAAAGGCTCTTGGTAAGTTTGCCCACTTTCCTTCGGCGGTTAAGTAGAGTGAGTGTTTGGAAGCTGGGGTAATGTCTAGGTCAGTAGAGTCTTTGCCTAATGTACATGGACCCTTTAGCTCATCCTCGACACCGCATAATCCATGCCTGGTTGTACACACCTGTAATACCAGCACTCGGGAGGTAGATGCAGGGGATCAGAAGTTCAAGGCCAGCCTCAGCTACATAGAGAATTTGAGACCATTTGGACTAGAGATGCTGTCTTGGGGGAAAAAAATAGAGTGAAAATTTAAACTCTCAATTCTCGGCAGTGTTAGTGTTAAACACACTATGCCAATCTATCTTGAATTGGGATTTTTATTAAGTCTTCCCTTTGTCCAGGAAATTAGAAGACCCGTGTGGTGTGTGTGTGTGTGTGTGTGTGTGTGTGTGTGTGTGTGTGTGTATGGGAAGCTTCTGTGTAGCTGATACCCAGATCAGAGGAGTAAGATGTTCCCAGGACTTCAAATACCTGTGTGGTCCTCTCGACTTGAATCCCTTACCCTGACTATGGGCATTTCCCCCTGCTTTTCTGAGTTTTCCCACCCACATGTGCAGTCCAATATTGCTTTGTTTGGACCCTTGCTTTTGTGCCTCGTACAAAGACTGTTTTGAGTTATATGGAATGTGTACAGGGTGACTATGAACTTCTGGCCCTGGTGGGACAACATTTCTGGTCTGCCATGATGAGCAGGGTTGGGTGGTAGAACCCAGGGCCTGGTGCATTCTAGGTGAGCACTCTACCAACTGAGCCATATCCCCACAGCGTAGGTCTAAGTTCAAATGTCTGAGAAGCCTATCCCAGCTGGCCAGATAGGGCCTGGCATTCTCATGGTGTTTGCTCGGGACTGTCAGTGTATGTATTATTCTGGAAAATATCTATTAATTTCTGTCTCCATTAGTAGATATAAGTCACTTACTAGATCTTAATGAATATTAGTTGAGGCAGTTAATGAATGTATATAAAGTTTCTGGCATCTACTAAGTGTCAGGCATGCGGTAAATGCAACTATTATGATTGGGACTCTTTACATGGTGATTTATTATTTATGATTTATTGGAGCTTGCCTGAGGATTCAGAAAGCAAAGTCAGCCACAAGCCATAGAAGCCAGGCACACACCTTTAATCCCAGGACTCAGGAGATAAAGGCACCCAGACCGATCTGTTAGTTCAAGGCCACCCAGGGAAACATTTAGGGTGAATCAGTCTAAAAGAGAATTAGAGTTCACACCTTTAATCCCGGGACCAGTGAGAGGTATTTAAGACAGGAGCAGGGTCTCAGAGCTGGCATTCATTCTCCAGCCACACTGAGGATAGGGAGGCATTGGGTCTCAGGGTTCCGCCGGCCATGTTGTGGAGAGCATAGCAGCCTGGGATTACAGTCTGGAGGTTTGGTGAAGCCAGTATGAGAGCTGGTGACAGGCTGTTTGCTTTGCTGATCTTCAGCTTGACGCTTGGACCCCAGTATCTGTCTCTGGGTCTTTTTTGTGCTACACTCTGTGTCTTCCTTACTCTGCCAGGGTCCTGCGTGGCATGCCACCGACCTTTTGCTCCCCTCTCTGAGGGTCTTTCCTGGGAACTGATCCTCATTCTAGCTGGATGGGGGTGGTGTTAGCCATTGTTCATCCACCACTTGCCCTGAGAAGAAGTACTTTACATATGTCCTCACTCAGCCCCGGGTTCTGTGCCATCAGTCATCTCCTCTTTACAGTTGGGGAAACCGAGGCACAGAGAGGCTAAGGAACTTGCTCAGGGATGACCTAGAAACTTGGAGGCATGGCCCAGAACACTTAGTGTTCTTTCAGAGGACCCGACTCCACATCTCCGCACCCTTGTTGGGTGGCGCAGTCACCAGTAAGCTCAGCTCCAGGGGTGTAAGGTCCTCTTCTGGTCTCTGGCTGCCCACATTCCTGCCCATATTACTCCCTAACAAAAGATATGAAAAAAAAAATATGAAGACATTGTTTGCCCAGCTTGCTAAGCTAGCAGGGCCCGGATCTGTGCTTTCAATATGGCTGCTTTGCCCCAGAGCCTATTCTTAGAACCACAGAGCCATGGCATCGGGGCAAACTGGTATGGTCAGCTCAGGGGTTGCCGTATGTGAACGCATGCTTGTTTGGCGTGCTGGCATGGCCTAGAAGAGGGAGGGGTTAGTCAGCAGAAGTGGGGCTTGGGTTGTGAGGGGCTTCCCGCAGTTGGCGGGCAAGAGAGAAAGTGGGGCCCACACGAGGGGCAGAATTCAGAGCGTGCAAACTTCTCCTGTTTTCGTGTCTCCCAGGTTGTTTTGTGCCAGAATAACATCCGAAGTCAGGCTCACATGAGCAGAGTCGTCACCCACGAGCTCATCCACGCGTTCGATCATTGCCGGGCTCATGTGCACTGGTTTACCGATGTCAGACATCTGGCGTGCTCGGAGGTGAGGCTGATCGTGGAGACATTTGTTTTCCCCGGAACACCGAACCCTCTATCCAGAGGCAACTGCTTAAGCATATTCCTGTTTAAGCACATTGCTGTTGCGACTTCTACATAGTCTCTTTGTAGACTCGCTATAAATGTTATCTTCAAGACCTAATAGTAGTATCGGCTGGTTTAAATCGTAATAAGCTACTTCTCTTGGGGTACACTGAGGGCTAAAGGTTATGCATGTATGGATTTTTTTAAGAATTATTCATTTTTATTGTTCTGGGATTTGAATCCAGGGCCTCTTGTACACTACTCAAACTCTTAAGTTAACTGAGCTAAACTCCTATTCTTGGGTTTGCTTTTGCAGTGCTGGGGGAGAGCCCTGAGCACAGTGCATGCTGGGTAAGCAATCCACCACTTCGTTAAGTGCCTAGCCCTTCCGGATTCTCCTTTAATCTTCACAGCGATGCATTGAGGAAGATAGTTAAGATCCTTGTCTGCTAGACGTGCTGAGGGAAAAAGTTCTTTGGATTCTAGAGTTAGTGGCCTAGTCGGGGTTGCCATGGTTTTTAACCAGCTTGCTGTGTCTCATAGACAAAGGCATTGTTCACTCTGGAGTGAACAGTTTAGCCTTAAAAGAGCAATGCAAAAAGATACTTACCTTTAGTGATTTTGTGTTGCTCTTCGAAGTCCATGTGCTCCGACTTTCATACTTGAATGTCAGCATTTGAAGAGTACATTATTATGAGAAATTAAGGAGTTAGTATGTTTTGTCCTTCCCTTGAACTCAGTATGTGCCCCTACTGCGTCTAACGAAAACTCTTTAGACAGTAGATGAAACCTGAGTTCTTAAGTAGACGTCTCTGTCTCTCTCTGGTGTTATGAACCTCATACTAACTAACGTGTTCAGTACCTTAAGCCCCACAGTGGGACACAGCCTTGTTATTGCACAGGTCGCAAGAAGCGGCCATTCTCTTGGCAGCGAATTACCAGAAACGTGGCTACGTATATGACTTAGAACAACAACAACAAAAATCTATTAATATCATAAATCAGAAAATATATGCTAACTTCAGTAGGGTGCTGTTCATTCTTTGTGTTTTGTATTGTGTAACATCCCAAGCACAGTTCAGGGCCTGGAGGAGACGCAACTGCACCTTGAGGGATTTGGGCTGTGGCCAGGGTCACAGGCACCTTCGGAAAAATGTTTTCTTGAGGTCTGTTTGGCAATTTCTAGAAGTGTTTGTATGTCCTAGAGAGCATGAACTTCAGCTGTGAGGTCCAAGTCTCTGACTCTTTTGTTTCCGGAAGAAATGGTTTATGTCCTTGAGGCTACAGGTAGTTTGTAGAGGATTCCCTGGGGTGGGCGATGGGACGCCCCTGCCTGCCACAGTGTCCCCTGCTTTGTGTATCGAGTTCTTGGGACTCTGTCCTGGCTAACGGATGTTAGTTCAGGTGTGCTGGAGAAACACACGCTGGGTCTCTGTCCTCTCCCAGTTTTTAAGCGTCGGCGGGCTGTGGATAGGCAGCCATTTTCAGCTAACCCTCTGTGTTTGTGACAGATCCGAGCTGCAAGCCTCAGTGGGGACTGCTCGCTTGTGAATGAAATCTTCAGGTTGCATTTTCGATTAAAACGACACCACCAGGTAAACACACATGGACCCCTCCCAGGCATGGTGCGTGGGCGTAGTGAGTAAAGACAGGAAGTACACGGGGCTGGACAGATGACTCAGCAGTTGAGAGCACCGGCTGCTCTTCCACAGGACCAAAGTTCAATTCCCAGCACCGACATGGCAGCTCGCAACTCTCTGTAACTCCGGTTCCAGGGTTTCTACCACCCTCACATAGATGGAAGCAAGCCAATGGACATACAAAGAAAGCATGAACAAACAACAACAAAAATAAAAGCCAGGTGGTGGCGCACGCCTTTAGTCCCAGCTCAGGAGGCAGAAGCAGGTGGATCTCTGAATTCAAAGCCAGCCTGGTCTGCAGAGTGAGTTCTAGGACAGTCAGGGCTGTCTGGAAAACAAACCAGACCAAACCAAAACCAAGAGAGTTCAGTCTCTGTAAAAATCCAAAATGCTTTTTTTTTTTGGGTTGGTGGAGTCAGGGTCTCTCTGTAGCTTTGGAATCAGTCCTGGAACTCACTCTGTAGACCAGACTGGCCTCGAACTCACAGAGGTCCACCTGCCTCTGCCTCACCTCTTTTGGGGTGTCTCCATGCAAAGCCTTAACTTTTCTCCATGAGCCCTCAGTCCGGGGGCTTTCCCTGCTTCCCTGCCTGCACCTTTACCAGGGAGAGAGCCCTCTCCCGGGTTCTCACAGTGCCACGCCTCAGCTGTTCTCTATGACCCCCTCACACCTTCAAAGCCACGACCACCCGGGTGACTTACACTACCTAGTTTGGCTGCCAGCACAAGGCACAACCGTGGCCAGCTCTGGAGCCCAGCTTGCGTGTGCTAGCTCTGAGGAAACACTTCCCAGAAGGCATTACCTCAATGATGCAGGGCTCCTGTTAATCACGGCTGTTTCTTCAGCCCCAGCTGACCAGATACCACAGGGGTCTTCACACAAGCGGCCTGGTAGAGTCTTTGCTTCCCTCTGACACCTCACAAGCTGGGCCTCCTTCGTCTGCACTGCTCTGAACACTCAACGCTCTAACTCTCGCAGAGTAGCCCTCTGAGCTCTCAACACTCAATGGCTCTTCTAGCCCAAAGACCCAGAGTCCTTCGACAAACATGGTTAGGTCTGTCACAGCAGTGGCCCAGTATCCTGGCATCAGTTTGTCTTATTTGGGGTTACTATGGCCGAGACAAAAACATCCTGACCAAAATCGAGTCGGGGAGGAAAGGGTTCATTTGGTTCACACGGTCAACTGTTCATCACTGAAAAAAGTCAGGGCAGGAGCTCACACAGGGCAGGAACCTGGAGGCAGGAGCTGATGCAGAGGCCATGGAGGGGGTGCTGCTTACTGGCTTGCTCAGCCTGATTTCTTTTGGAATCCAGGACCACCAGCTCAAGGTCGGCCCCTCCCATGATGGGCTGGTCCCTTGCACTTAATCACTAATGAAGAAAAATGCTCTAGAGCTCAGCATCATGGAGGCAGTTTTTCAATTGAGGTTCCCTCCTTTCAGATGACTCTAGCCTGTGTCAAGTTGATGTGAAATTAGCCCAAACAAAAGGAGGGTTGGTGTTAGGGTTTGTGTTAGATGCTCTTTGGGTCTTGGAGGAGGGGAGCATTGTCAGCCCAGATGGGAAAGCGCTCTCTCTCTCTCTCTCTCTCTCTCTCTCTCTCTCTCTCTCACAGATTTATTTATACTATGGGTAATTTTAGGTAGATAGCATGGTTCCTTATGACGTCTAAAGACAGTTTCGCTGTTATTTACTTTGCTATATTCATTTCTCTTATCCTTCCCTAACTAAAAGCATCTTCATATCTTCCTTTCCTTTGTTTTTCTCATCTTCCCATATGAATCTGAATTGTGGTCTGTCACTGGGTCTTCTGACCCTGAGACGTCTGGATTTTTTTTTTTTTTGGACAGGGTCTCCCTGTCCATCTCTGGCTGTTCTTTGATGAGTAAGTGTTTTCAGCTTGAGAGCGCAGGTGTCATGAGACCCGGCCTTTAATCTTAGCTCTATGTCGCCTAACCTGGCCTGGAATTCTTGGTCCTTATGCCTTTGTCTTCTGTCACCTGATTTAAAAGTATGTGCTGCCATGTCTGCTTCTGGTTATCTTTCACACAATATTCTTTTGAATTTTAGTTTGAGCAGAGAGAAATAAATATTTTAAAAGCTGTCTGTGAATTAGAACGGCAGGGCCTTGCATTTCTTAAAATGTAAATTTTAGGGTTGACAAATTCCAGATAATGGGTGTGTTATTCTCATAGCAAAACAGGTCTAAGCAATGACTATGTTAAATTTTCTTTCTGCCTAAAAATGAAGGCACCTTTTACGTTTGATGAATGGATGTCTATGAATGGTTTCCTGCTTCCTCGGGATAAGCAGTAAAAAGTTAATGTGTCACTAATCAGCTGAAAAGTTATGAAAGAGGTGTGAAGAATATGTTATTTTTTTTAAGATGTATCTTATTTGTCAGTGTTCTGTGTTTTGAGGATCAGTTGAAGAAAGAGGGTCACTCCAGAATGTAATGTAGGTTTAGCCAAAGCAGCAGGGGAAATCAATCTCCAGGGATTGGCCTCTGGTGTCTTTGTGACAGCCTCTTTTGTTGGTACACAAATTATACCTCTGGCAAGTCAATTTCTGCATATTCAACCCCCTCTTACTTGGAATTATTTGAAAGAACCATTTGCCGGAGCAGTTCTCAGCCTGAGACCTCGTGGTTTGCGGGTTCTCTGGAGACTTAAGTTTTGCAAAGGCTCTGGAATCCTTCAGGAAGAAGAACTCAGATAAGAATCACTTTAACTTTAAACAAAAGGGAGTTCAAAGCATAGGCGCAATCACTTGGGAATTCAAGCCAGATGCAATGACTGTGGAATCTCCGTTGTGTCTGACTACATGAGTGTGGGTGCCGGGGGGCGGGAGGGGGGGCATCGGATCCCTGGAGCTGGAGTTACAGGTGTTTGGGAGCTGCTCACTGTGGCTGCTGGCAACTGAACTGAGGTCCCTTGGAACAGCAGGCATTCTCTTAATCCTGGAGTCATCTCTCCGGCCCCCTGAAGTATATTTTAAATTTAATTAAGCAAGATCAGCCAGGACCTTGTCTATGAACTTTTTTTTGATTTTGTAAAATGGAAATTACTGTTTGGCAGACATGGTCTGGTGCTTCATGGGATGAAATCTGGTTATATTCCCCCAAAATAAGAAAATGGAGGTCTTAATTATGTCTAAATAATTTTATATTGAACTAACATGTTCCATGATTTGAAAGTTATATTTGTTAATTTTATTTGAATTTTTATAATGGTAGGAATTACTAAGAGAACAGGAAGAGAAATGAACCTTTTTTTTTTTTTTTTTTTTAAATATTTTACGTGTTGTCTTGCCTGCATGTATGTCTGTGTGAGTGTGTCGGATCCCCTGGGACTAGAGTTACAGATTGCCAAGTGAGTGCTGGGAATTGAACCCAGGTTCTCTGGAAGAGCAGCCAGTGCTCTTAACTGCTGAGCCATCTCTCCAGCCCTGGAGAAATGATTTAGGTAATATGAAATAATTTAGGGAATATGTAATGGTATCATAGGATTAAATTTTCTCACAAAATGAAAACTGCCCGGTCTCCCTTTCCTAGACTTGTGTGCGGGACAGAGCTGTTCTTTCCATCTTGGCTGTTCGGAACATCAGCAGAGAAGAGGCCCAGAAGGCTGTGGATGACGTTTTTGAGTCTTGTTTCAATGACCGTGAGCCTTTTGGCAGGATCCCACATACTAAGATGTATGCCCAGTATGCTCACAGGGACTTTCAGAGCCGTCATCGCTATTACTCAAACATATGAAGATAGTATCCTCAAGCCTCAGGACCAGGAGGGAATGCACAAATGTATACAATGTAAATAATCAGTTAGGTACTGCCATAAAGTTCAGGATGTGAAATGGTCTCAGACACAGAATGTATACAATGTAATTCTTCTCAGCACAGAACGTTTACAATGTAAATGTTCTCAGCACAGAATGTATACAATATAAATCTTCTCAGACACAGAATGTATACAATGTAAATGTTCTCAGGTTAAAAAACTATACAATGTAAATGATCAGTTAGGCACCTGAGGATTCAGAATGTATACAGTGTATTGATGGGTTAGATACTATGGATCCAGAATGTATACGATGTAAGTGATTGGTTAGGCATGGGATCCAGAATGTATACAGTGTAAAAATACAGAAGTTGTTGGTTTTAGCATTTGACTACAAAAAAAATAAATATAGCAAAAAAGGAACTCCTTAAACTGCAAGGCAAAAATTGGACCTTTATTGCTAGTCATTTGGTAAATAAGGTAAATGAATGACATTTTTTGTACTTTCCACAGTATACTTACCTTTTTAATGCTTTAGTTTTATAATTTGTAATTTTTAATACATGAGATTATTTGAAATTTGATTATGAAACCTGTGAAGCATGCACCTGTGCGACGGTGATGGAAGAGCAAAGTTAGTATTTATTTACAATGATCATATTATAGGACATTTGTGAGGTGCTGTCATAATTAAAATGCAAAGAATGAAAGTTGGGAGTAATTCATTTAAGGTCAGTGTCATTTTCTTTTGGTTAAAGTGTGTGTTGGGGACTTTATGACTTAATTTCCTTAGGACAGTCTTATAATTACTTACCTTTAGATTTTATTTTTTATTTTATATATATGGTGTTCTGTCTGTATGTATGTCTATGTATTATGTGCTTTCCTGGTACCTGAGGAGGGCAGAAGAGGGACTTGGATCCCCTAGAACTGGATTTATAGATGATTATGACCCATTGTGTGGATGCTGGGAATCAAACTCAGGTCCTTTGGAAGAGCAACCAGTGCTTTTAGCTGCTGAGCCATCTCTCCAGTTCCCCTTATTAGATTTTTTTTTTTTTTAAATTAAGGCCCTCTATTCAAGCTATAATGCAATTTGGTTTAATTTTTATATATTTTTCATGTAATGATTTTTTAAATATTTTGTCAGTCCACATATCTGAATTGTAGATACAGAAACATCATTCCAGCCAGTGTGGCGGTGCCTCTAATGATAGCACATGGGAGGTGGAGGCAGTGGCATGGGGAATAATAAAGGGCCAGTGTTGGCTATATAGTGAGTTCTAGGCTAGCCTGGGCTACATGAGACTTCGTCGCAAAGGGAAAGAGAGAACATTGTCTCTCAGCCACACTTCCACTGATTAGGTGATGGAGATGGCTGTGGATCCACGGACGAGGCTGAGGAGAGAGTGCACGTGTTGCAAATTTTCCCACTAAAATGGAAACTATACAGTTAAGTATTAGTGTACAAAGTAATGGGCTTCATAATGACATTTTCATTTAATTGTGTTAAATGCTTTGACCATATTCAGCCTCATAACTCTCTCCTGCCATCTATGACTTGTACTCTCTCTCTCTCTCTCTCTCTCTCTCTCTCACACACACACACACACACACACACACACACACTTTTTAGGTTCCACATATGAGAGGAAACACATTTTCATTTTTATGGATCTGACTGATTTAATTAACACCTCAGCCATGTCTCTAGCCCATTAAACATTTTTTTCTGTATATTTATGTATGCATATCACATGTGTGGGCTTTTTTTTTTTTTTTTTTTTGGTGGAAATCAGGAGAGGGCATCACATCCCCTGGAACTGGAGTTAGAGATGGTTGTGACTTTCCTCGTGGTGCTGGGAACCGAACCCCAGACTTCTGCAAGAGCAGCCAGTGTTCTTCACTGCTGAGACAGCTCTCCAGCCCCACTTCTACTGACAGCCATTCCGACTGGGGTGAAATGGGATCTTAAGTAGTGCTGACTTGTGTTTCCCTGATGTCCAAGGATGTTCAGAGATCTACCTGCCTCTGCCCCCAAGTGCTGGGATTAAAGGCGTGCACCACCACTGCCCAGCTCTTAGCAATCTCCTAACTGTAACCCCTGTAAAAGTAAAAAGCAGATCCCATACTTCCAGTATAATGTCATAGGATATAATTACTATCCCGAAAGGGAGGAAATACTCTAGCACGTGGCTCATGGCACGTTACCCCATTTTCTACACACCCTGCTTCCTCTGTATCTGGCTCCAGACTGAATCCACCCTTGGCCCCAACATTGTCTCAGTTTGGAAGCCCTGTCTAGCTGTGGGCCATCAGCTCCATCTTAACCAATGGGATTAATTGTTCCACAGCAGGAGCTGGTGGCTGAGGAGGCTGGAGTAACAGTGGCTCGAGGTACAATAGCTCCTTTGCCATCACTGATAAATGAACTAGTACACTATCAGTTCTTATGACTGTTTCTGGGGACTTCAAGTATGATGCGACACGTACCACTTTTGGGAACTCGTTCCTCTGAAATATCGTTGGAAGGTGTTGGAAGATTCATGGAGCGTACATCATTAAAATGTTAACATATGAGTCAAATTGATAGGTTTTGAACCTGAAAGATCAAATAGTTCATTTAATCATATTAGCCAAATTGGTTTTTAAACCAGCCGAATTATTTGTGGTGCTTAAGAAGTCGTTATTCTCCAGCCAAGTGGGTAAATGGGTCACCTTGGGATTTGCAGCTGGAGTTTTCTTTTATGACAGTGTACTGGGAACCCAGTCATTTGTCCCAAAGAGAGGCAGCAAAGTTTCACCAGGCCTGTCTTGATTAATTTCCCAAAACCACATGAGGAAATTCGCCAATTACACTTTCCGGGGTTGGTTTGATCAGCCTCACATGGTTGCATAGTCTGCACAGGTTGCTACCTGGAGGTTGACTGATCAAAATGGTTAAGAAAGGCATGACGGAAAATGACCTGTGAACCGACTTCTAATGTGACGTCAGCTTAGGTGGGTTAGATGGCTGCATCTTTGAGATGCGGTATATAGAATTTTCTCATGCAAATCCTGGCACCATTACTGAAGGAGCAGGCACAAACTATTTTGCTGGTAGAAGATAGACAGAAAACATAGACAGCAACTGAACATAACACTAACTCCTTGGAGAACTATCAAGGTTTTCTGTCCTTTCCGTTTCTATCCTGCATTTCTACATACTACTAGCATAGCATGACAGTAATGTAGCTTCTATATGAATTTTCAGGCCACAGATATATATATATATATACATATATATATATATATATATATATATAACTCCATATTACAACAAATTACCTTTTTTTCCTCCCTATTATGCAAGGGAACCCTTGCCCCAACAGTGTCTCCATATCAACTGGCAGCTGGTTAGAAGTACAGTACTCAAATCCCACTAAGTCAGCATTTGCACACACACACAGACATCAGAATTGAGAAGCATCCCTTGAAGGACTTTGATAGCACTGAGAGAGTGGGTTCCCTTCCTAGCTGCATATCCCGCCCCCCTCACGTTTAAGCACAGGATTCCTGGAGTTTCTGGCCTCAGGGATCTTATCTAAATGGTCAAAAGATGGGCTGGGCATCCTAGAGTTTTAAGGCTCCCTCCCATATGTGATTTAGGGGTTAGGCTTGAAGGGCGCTGCTGGGGGGGGGGAGTACACCTCCACTCTTTAAACTTTTTTTTTTTTTTTTTTGAGACAGGGTTTCTCTGTATTGCTTTGGAGCCTGTCCTAGAACTAGTTCTGTAGACCAGGTTGGCCTCGAACTCACAGAGATCTGCCTGCCTCTGTCCCCCGAGTACTAGGATTAAAGGCATGCGCCACCAATGCCTGGCTTCTTTTAAACTTTGATACAGTTTTATACAATCCCTTTGTTGCATAAAGAAAGCAGAGAGTTCATACTCTTCTCACCCATCCATTCATTACATAAGTTTCAGAACAAATGTGTCTAATATGCCTGTCCGGCTGTCTTAATTCAGGGTTTACTCTTGGATCTGCTATAGTAAAGCCCACTTACGTCTCACAGAACACAGGAGATAAATAGGAACCAAAGGGAGACAATGCTTTGCTTTCATTCTTTTTAAAGATGAGCTAAATACTCTGATCATAAGAGGAGATAATTTTTATTATGAAATTCAGAGGATACACAAAGCAGTAAGCTTATCTGACAAAGAGAAAAGCCAGTAACATTGGAGTTTTAGATAAACAGCAAATATACCCTTTTTATTCAATAATGCAGTTTTTTACTAGACTGAGGGGGTTTTCTCTAATGCAGGCTAGACTTAACTGTGTAGACCAGGTTGCTCTCCCAGCTGGAAATTTCTTGCCTCATAGTCCCAAGTAGCTGGACACATACCCGTCACTGAACCTTGATAAACTTTCTTTGTTTGGACAGGTCTCTTTGTGCAGCCTTTACTATCCTAGAACTCCCTATGTAGACCAAGCTTGTCTTGAGATCCTTTTCCTTTTGTCTCCTGAGTGCTGGGATTAAGTGTGCTAGCAGGCCTTGCAACGTTGTATTTTTTTTTCTTTTAAGATTTATTCACTTTATATTACATGTTTGCCTGAGTGTATATATGTACACCATATGCAGGCATTGCCCACAAAGGCCAGAAGAGGCCATCAGCTTTCTCCCTGGAACTAGAGTTACAGACAGTTGTGAGCCTCTGTGTGGATTCTGGGTACTGAACCTGAGTCCCGTGCAAGGGACGCTCTAAACTGTTCGGCCGCCTCTTCAAGCCTGACTTTATATCTTTAATATTAAGTTGTATTTATTACAAGTAGGTCCTATGAAAACACATGGAGTATGTTTATAAATGCTAAATATGACAACCTCAAGAAATAAGCCATGTAAAATTAAGACTAAAAAGTGTACTTGATGAATAAAATGTCAACCTATGTGATGTGCTATCAGGATACCTACATAAACCAAATTTTATGGGATGTCTTCTTTCTCCTTCCTTCCTTCCTTCCTTCCTTCCTTCCTTCCTTCCTTCCTTCCTTTCTTTCTTTCTTTCTTTCTTTCTTTCTTTCTTTCTTTCTTTCTTTCTTTCTTTCTTTCTTTCTTTCTTTCTTTCTTTCTTAAGGAGGCTGGATTCCGGTTATACAGGACCATGGTCACGTCCTGAAACTCACAAACATAGGCACCATCCTGCCTCTGCTAGAGGCCTGTGCCACTGCACCCAGCCAGGACAGTTTATAATTTAAAGAATAGTATATACTCCATGATCTCAGCCCAGCAAGAAATCTCCGAGTAGTTGTGGATGAGGGTGAAACACAGAACAAGTTTATACCTTCTGGTTGCCATTTGTTAATGTGCAAAACAGACCAAAACAAGGAGAACGCGCTGTTGGAACCGCTATTGACCAGCAGAGGGCGCAAGCGCACCACGGATGAGCTTCCAGTCACACCCGACCGGGTCATTTGCTCAGTACGCTGTATGCAGCTCAGAATTTATTTAAATATTTATTTGAATCAACTTTGGCATGCAGCGAT